CTTTATTTATTTATTTATTTATTATTATTATTATTATTTTTATTTTGGAGACAATTTTATTCGAGGTTTATAGAATCAGATATTAAATATAAGAACTTCTACAACCGAGTTTTAAATTTTGATTCATATTATATTGTGAATTTCTTCTACTACTCCCGACCTTTGGTTATTCTACACTAATTAAATGAATCATGGATGAATAAAATATCAATTCTACGTATAGTGATGAACGTGCATGATTAATAATATTTACAAATTTTTTACGTCTACACACAATATAGGTAATTTCATTTAGATTTATTTTTATACATTTTTACCCTAAATTTCTTTCACTTTATTCATCGATTAGACATTATAAGTGTAATTTTTGTGGAATAATTGTAAAAGTTAATATATTCTATTTATATGTTTAATAATATGTGTTTAATATAAAATTTATATGATGATAATATATAAAAAGATGTATTCCAGTTAAATGTTTAATTTCTTTCATTTATATGTGTGGGAAAAATATTGGCAAATTAATATTTCTTCATATAGACCTTTTTCAATCTTTTATGATCTTGGGCATATGCTATTGGATACTTGGATTTGTAACATCACCTTTTCATTTAGATATACTAAATGTCATCAATACAAATGGGTCGACACTTATGTTTATTATTTAATGACTAAAGTTTAAATTCCGTCTTAAATATAGATTCTGGACTAAATCAAGAGTACTATTTTATTTCTATAAGAATCGACTCTGACAGAAGGAGTTCACCTTCTTAACAAATTAATGAAAAAAAAAAACTCATTTAACTGCCCATAATAAAAGGACTACATTAATTCACATGTATATATGTGTGCAAAATTGTAAATTATTCTTGTGGTTAAGATTAATTGAATTTGTCTGGCAGGTTGATTATAAACATTGGTTAGCTGCACAAAATGGGTTGCCTCCTTTGGAAGAGTGGAGGGAAAATCTCTTAGCAGAATGCTTCAAGAAATTAATTGAATTGCCTGACAAATACAGAGACCAATGGGACGATGCTTATTGGGATTCCGTCTTTCAAACTACATCTACTTCCCAAAATCGAATATAAATACACAATGTTAAGTATCTTCTACCACATAAAAACTATGGGATTGTAGCCATAATTAAATTAAATTATCCAAATATAAATATAATTTTTCAGACATTTCCTATATCACTAGGTATTGATCCTCGATGTATGTTAATCGCGAGTGTAATAAATTTGAAAGTAATCCAAATTGTCTCTACAAAAAAGTAATGTTGGTTGATTTTTGATAGTAGTGGTGTTGGGGGCAAAATCTAATGAAGCAAAATATCCCTCCTCCACATGTGCAGATAAATAGGGACAACAAAGAATATTTCTACAGCACAATATTAATGGCAGAAAAAATAAATATCATGATACCACAATCTTAACGTGGAAAACTATAGGGAGAAAAAAACTTGGGATAAGTCTAACAAAAATTTCCACTAAAAATATTAATGTGTACTCCAAGTATTCCGATATATGACCTAACAAGTAGATACAATCAAACAACAATAATAGAAAAACTCCATACAAATGACTATTATAATTAGAGGTGTAAAAATTGATTTAACTTATTAGGTTGGCCTATCAAGTCATATATATAAAACGAGATCAAATGATATCGATATAATTTATATTTGTTCTTATACTGTTATATAACTTTATATTAGATGATTACTTTTAAAATTTATCGTTAGATTGAAATTTTTTTATGTGAAAAATTCATAATAATAACTTAGATAATGAACAATATAAGATACAATATTATAGTATGTTCGAGTAAAATTTAAAAAGAATTGCGTACTCAAAATTAATGAGGGTCTATCTCTTTTGTTTTGAACATGTGAGAGAAGACTACTCTTTTTTTTGGTAGACAGAAGATGAAAATGTGTGTTTTTTTTTAACATTTGAATGAACTAATTGGATACTAGTTCTATATCCTTATCAGTAGAGACTAGAGACCTTTCAATAAGATATTGAACAGTCCAACCTATCACAAACTAATCGTCAGAAATTTAGTATACATTACCCATAAATTAATAATAACGTGCAATATAATTGATATTAACATATAACTATAATTTATTAATTAATAATAATAATAATAATAATAATAATAGAGAATAATTATATAAATATAACATTCTCCCACTTGGATAACATTAATCAATAAATTAAATATACCAATTACAACGCAAGCACATATATCAAAAAACAATATAAGAAATATAAACATGAACGGCAAAGATAGTAGTATCTAATAGAGATACATATACCTTATGCTTATATTTCATAAATAATGGATAATGAAAAATATAATAAATATGTGATCCCAAAAAATGGTCAAAGCATTTTTATATGCTAAAAGAGATGTAATGAAAATGATGTCATTGATAAATTTACATCTCATGAAATTCATAATAATAAAATGTAAATTTCAGACTCCAATTAACCCAATACATCAAAAAACTTAACCACACCTATATGAGTTACATGATTTTGAAAAACTCCAATAGCCAAGTCTTTAGTTAGTGGACTTGCTAACATATTTTATGTAGCAACATGTTCAATCTGAGTATGAAAATCCAAAAGTTTCTCTTTAACAAACAAAAATTTTAATTTATACCAAAATGCTTTGAGCGAGTAGAACTTCTATTATTTTGAGAGAAATGCACAACAACAGTATTGTTGTAATATATCACAAGTGGCTTAGAAATACTTTCAACAATATGAAAGCCAAAATTCAAATTTTTAACCTACACAACTTGACAAATAGCCTCATAACAAGCGACATACTATGTCTCCATGGTAGTAGTAGTTATAAGAGTCTGTTTAACGCTTCCAAGAAATAACTCCTCCTGCTATCATAAAAACAAAGTCGAAAGTAGATTTTCGATTATTAGGACAACCAGCAAAATCAGAATCAGAATAACCAATGACCTGAAATTGATCAGACTTCTTATAGGTCAATATATGATCCTTGGTTCCCTGCAAATATCTAAAGACCTTTTTAATAACTTTCCAATGACCTAAACCCGGGTCACTCAAGTATCTCCCTAAAGCATTAACAACGAAAGCAATATTGGGACGAGTACAAACTTGAACATACATCAAGCTACCAACAAGGGAAGCATGTGAGACCTTTTCCATTTCAAATTTATCATTATCATTTTAAGGACATTGAGATTTAGAGAGTTTGTCACCTTTTTAAACAAGTGCAACACATGGGGAGCAAAATTACATGTTAAACTGTTTGAGGACTTTATCAATATACCCCCTCTAAGACAATTGCCACATCACCCATCATAAAAAATATGAATGCCTAGAACAGCAGAGGCATCACTAAGGTCCTTCATATCACTACAAGAAAAATGCTAATTTTCGACGGAAAAGGGTAAATTTCTGACGGATTTTATTTTTTTCGACTTTGTTTTTTCTGGGATTTAAATCTGTCAAAAAAAGTGGCGTCGAAAAAAAAAATCCGTTAGAAATAATTTAATCCGTTGGAAATTTCTGACGAAAAATTCGGTCAGAAATTTCTGACAAAAATATCCATCAGGAAATTTTGATGAAATATTCTGTCAGAAATTATATTTTTTTTAATTTTAATAAATTTATTAATGTAAATATATAAAATAAACGAAGAGAAAGATAAAACGAGAGATTGATGAGTAATACCTCGTAACAAGCTTTATTGGATCTTCAACTATGGAGGTTTTAGGTGCTTTGTGGCAACCTTTCACACTATAATAAGCCTCACAAAACTCAAGAAGTACAATAGGAGAGAGAGAGAGAAAAAAGGGAGAAATTTCGAGCTCTATGGAGCTTTGGAAAAAATTTTGGAGGTCCCCTGAACTGTGCCCGAGATTTCTTATTTATAAGCATCAGATGTGGGCCGGAACGGCCCGTTCTGGATTCAGAACAGCCCGTTCCGGATCCAAACGTTAAGTTCTATTTTTGCACCCGGGAACGGCCCGTTCTGAAATCAAAACGGCCCGTTTCGGGGAACCAGAACCGCCCGTTCTGAGTTCAGAACGGCCCGTTCTGGGGTACAGATTTTAGGCCATTTTTTCGGTTTGG